TTTAATTTAGAAATAATAATGTACTGCGTTTGTATGACTTTCTTTAGCTTACATCATTCTTCTAAGAGATTAATCTTACACATTTGAAATCCATTGCAGTTGAGTTTGAAAATTTGCTACCCCCTGCAATGGAAGGTCTGGATGTCTTTCTTGCTGTAAGTATTCTAGATTCACCTTCTACCTTATTTTTCGTTTAACACTGAAGTGACTGAACTGTAACCTTATTTATATCTTTTTAAACAGAAGAAGAAGCCCATGCCTAAAAGCGAACCTGATCAGAATGGTATTTTACCTCATTACACACAAGAACTTATCCTATCTTTTCTTTCTTTATGGTCTTGGGGTGTGGGGAAGGGAGGTAGATGGTATGAAACTTATCCTATCTTTTCTTTCTTTATGGTCTTGGGGTGTGGGGAAGGGAGGTAGATGGTATGATTGCTTCTAACTGTTTGAATGGAGAAGCAGGTAGTGTTCCTGTCCCGTCTGCACCAGCAACTAGTTGGTTTTCTTCATCAAAATCTGCAAAGAAGGTGAGTGTGATTACTCTTTTTAAATAATATCACTCTCAAAATCTTGCATTTTTTTGCTTATTCACAGCATATTTTGATATGCTATACAACTTTCGTAAGTTACCAATAACATACTAAAATTATGTATACCTATCAAAAAAGGGAAAAAACATATTTAAATTCTGCATTATGTGGGGTTACCCATCGAGCTAAGTTGTCAAGAAGTATCTTTGTCCTTTTCCATTAGTGTGAAGTTGTTTGATTTTATTTTGTAGACTGTTGGTAGAAATTATTGCATGAGTTTCTCCTATCCCAAATTTCCCGATCACATCTTACAACACTTCATGGTATGTTAATGCTTAGTTCTTGGTTTGCTCCTAATGCTTCACTTTTTTCATCTGCCTACAGGTCTCTTTAACCTCTGTCACATCAATAGTTGATGGACTGAAGAAGTTGTACATCCAAAAGCTAAAGCCGCTAGAAGTCGCATATCACTTTAATGATTTTGTCTCTCCATTGTTGGTAGGTGGTGCATTTCACTTCAGTGTTGCTTACTTTAAGATGTTGGGAAATACTTCTTGCTCTTTTTCCTCCCCTTCAAGAATGCTTCCTTTTTATTAATACGGGAAAACTTGAAAATAGTGATAGATAAACAGCTGAAGTGCTATTGTTATGTGCTGTATGTGATAGGCGAATAGTGATTTTGATGCCAAGCCGATGGTCATGCTTTTGGGTCAATACTCCACGGGCAAAACCACATTCATTAAACATTTACTCAAAACCAGTTATCCAGGTTAGCTAATACTCCTTTTTACTTGTGTATGTCTCTTGTCTATGTGCTTAAGAGGCTCTTGATTACATTGTCGCGTCCTCTATGTCTATAGGTGCTCACATTGGTCCGGAGCCTACAACAGATAGATTTGTGGTTGTCATGGTATTTTCGCCTTTCTTTACTCTTACTGACTGATTTGTGGTTGTCATGGTAGTTTCGCCTTTTACTCTTACTGACCACTCTGGTCACTCATAACTGCTTGGATTATGGTCCTGAAAAGAAGAAATCTATACTTGTCTCTGACAAGAGTTCAATGCCTTCCTCCATTTAAGTGTCCCAACATAAGGCCCACTTTAAATGACACTTCACAGTTTATAATTTTCTTTTCTTTTATATTCTACTATGTATGTCTCTATTTTTCATGTGGGAGTTCAGATTTCTGCTGCTTTTCGCAATAGTTTCACCAATATGATACATGCTTGGGAATGATTTTCTCAAATGTTGTGATCACTTTCAACTGTGTGATACAGAATGGGCCGGATGAAAGAAGTATTCCAGGAAATACAATTGCTGTTCAAGCAGATATGCCATTTAGCGGTCTGACAACTTTCGGAACTGCATTTTTGTCAAAGTTTGAGTGTTCTCAAATGCCGCATCCTGTGAGTTATGGATCAATTTACTTATACTAAAAAATGAAACAACCTTTAGCAAAACTCAGAAAACTTTCAACTCCTTTTTTCCTGAAACAACCTCTCTCGTGTTAAAAAAAGTTGTTGGAGCATATTACTCTGGTGGATACTCCTGGAGTTTTATCTGGGGAAAAGCAGAGAACACAAAGGAGCTATGACTTTACTGGTGTGACGTCCTGGTTTGCTGCCAAGTGCGATCTCATCCTTCTTTTGTTTGATCCCCACAAGCTTGATATAAGCGATGAGTTCAAACGTGTGATTGCTTCTCTTCGAGGCCATGATGATAAGATACGTGTGGTTTTGAACAAGGCTGACCAAGTTGATACTCAACAAGTAAGGCAAAAGTTTTTTTCTTCTTTTTTTTTTTCCTTCATTCATGTTTTCCGCCGATTTCTGGACTATGCTACTGGTTTGATTTCATCAATTGATCTCAATTTCAGCTTATGAGGGTTTATGGAGCATTGATGTGGTCTTTGGGGAAAGTTCTAAATACTCCTGAAGTTGCTCGCGTCTACATAGGGTATGATCTCTGTATTTTTACAGCTAATCCAATAACTGACTTGAATGGGCATATTTTGGCCAACTAAATGTAATTGAGTTGCACCAAAACGGTAGTATGAAGATAAATATATTAATGCTACCTGATGGATTCAGAACGTGGTAAACTAACTCTGCCTCACTGTTGGGTCAAACTTTTGGTAACATATACTAAGTCTAAGATAAATCGCTTGGGTTTTCAGGACTTGAAAGTGTGCACCTATGAGACGTCACATTTGCTTACTAGATCTATCATGTGTTTAATATAATTGACCAACCCACACAGTTGCTCCTCTCTCTAAAGCTTAAGTGCAGATTTAATCTGAACACTTCAAATTAAATATGAAATATGCATGTTCATTTCGGATAATGTCTTCAAGTCATTAGTGATATTTCAATTTAGATGGAGCATATATAAAATTTTCATTTCCATTTGGAGTTTTATATTTTTCATTAGCATTGTGATGTTTCGCTTGCACAGATCATTTAATGACAAACCAATGAATGAAGCTGCTACAGGACCACTCGGGAAAGAACTTTTTGAAAAGGAACAAGATGATCTCCTTACAGACTTGAAAAACATACCAAAGAAGGCTTGTGATCGTCGTGTAAATCCACAACCTCATATCGAGTCTTTATATTGCTCATATACTAACAATACTTTAAACAAGGATTGAAAAGGAGGTTTTTATTGTGTACAGATCAATGAATTTGTAAAACGTGCTAGAGCTGCGAAGATACATGCATACATAATTGGTCATCTCAGAAAGGAGATGCCTGCTATGATAGGCAAAGCCAAGACACAGCAGAGACTCATTGATGAATTGGAAAAGGAATTTGGAAAGGTTTAACTCTCTCAAACCCACTCGCACATTTACATATTCACTAATCTGTCATGTACACGTTCACAATGTTTATAATGTCTATACTGAGCACTAGTATTGTGTGGTAATGGCCAATTTGTCCCAAACAGGTTCAAAGGGAATTCCATCTGCCTGCTGGGGATTTTCCAAATGTTGAACATTTCAGAGAAGTTCTCGGTGGTTATAGCTTTGATAGGTTTGAGAAGTTGAAGCCCAAGATGATACAAGATGTTGACGATATGCTTGGTTATGACATCCCTGAACTTCTCAAGAATTTCAGGAATCCTTATGACTAACGAGGCCTAGTGCTGTTACAGTTTGCAGTTATATTTGCCTGAATTTTGTTTATTATATGACTAACTCATTGTATGTTGTAAGTTGTAACCTTATTCCTCTTTGGTCTCTCACATTGAGAATTTCTGCAAAGAATTTGGGTTCAACAGGGATCAATCAACCCATACATACTATCAGCCGGCATTTGTGGTGGCACATAAACACATATTCTTCAGAATTTTGAATACAAGAAGATAATTAGTTATGTGTTAGCATGTGTCTTTCTTTTCTCTTGTTATTTTCTGTAAATCAAACTGGAGGGCTCACATGAAAAGCAAAAGAAACTGCACTAGACTCTGAGGTATGCCCGAAATACCAAGAAGTTCACTGAAAAATACATAGGAAAAACTTACACCTGGTGTTTACACCTATAGGTTATCATGATTAAATAAATACTAGGTAAAAGCGTGCATTATTTAATTATGATTAAGTAATATTAGTGTATATAAAAATACATGTCATGTATTTATTAAGTTGTTGGAAACATCGAGTTTCATAGTGCAGGAAGTGGACTCACAATATAACGATTTGGGACTCAATTGATTTAAAGATAAGATAAAGTTGTGCATTAGCTAACTTTGGTTAGGTGATATCAATGTATGCTATATATAACTATCATGTAATCAGCATTGTACAACTCAGATGTAGACTCAAACATGAACCGATAGTATATGTGCTACACAACCTTTTCATGGAATGGACAAATTAAGTGGGTGTTTGGACATAAGAATTGTAAAATACCAAAACAGGGTGAAAATTTTTTTCAAGTGAAAATGGTATTTGAATCTAGAATTGCGTTTGGATATGAATATAATTTTGGGTTGTTTTTTGAAATTTTGTGAGTGATTTGAGTAAAAATTTTTAAAAAAAGCCTTTTGAAGTTTTTCAAATTTCCAAAATGAATCTTTAAGCGAAAATTGAAAATTTTATGAACAAACGGTGATTTCGGAAAAAGGTGATTTTTTTTTGGGAAAAAGGGAAAAATTTCTTCTGTCTAAATGGGCTATAAATATGAAAGAAAATAAAAGAAGTGAAAAAGAGTAGAAAAGAGAGCTCAGAGACGCTGTAGTATCATCCTAGAATCGGATAACTGCGGAGACCCTTTTATCACCGCACGGAGCGCCAGAAATCATCACGGCTCTTTCATGCACCAGCCGGGAATCGAACCCGGGTCTGTACCGTGGCAGGGTACTATTCTACCACTAGACCACTGGTGCTTGTTGTTTCATTACGTATTTTAAACTTATAATATATTATGAACTCTAAGCTGTGGCACAGCACATAAATGAACGGAAAAGGAATTAGCCTTTGCTCGTAGACTCGTAGTTCGCAAATCTCATTCCTAATCGCGCGAACTCGCAGAAACGACGAGCACCTAGGTCTGTGGCCTTTCTCCCTTCTTATGCTCACTTCTCTCTCTGCAACCCTGACTTACTCGGTGCGGTTTCTCTTTTCAGAGTGAACTTTTTGTTGAACTCAACATGTTTGATGAAATGCCTCTTACCTTTTATAGTATCCAGTTGTGCTTATGCATTTCTCGTTTTAGAGTAAAGCTTTGATTTTGTTATTTGTAGGGAAACGAGAAGCTAACAAGATGCTGCCACAGCGGATGAAAAAGGCTATGACAGACAACCCAAAGAAATTAGCCAATTTGATTGACCTCGTAAATCTCCCTTCAACACTTAGAGAATTCATGGGTCAGTCACAGACTTCTCGCTTAGGTTGTTTTAAACGTGTCTGGTCTTACATCAAGGAAAACAATCTCCAGGTATTAACCATATTAGTAAGCCGCATCAATGAGGACATATCATGGTTGATAGCTCTTCCGTCCCATTTTATATTACATTGTTGAACTTAATTTGAAGTTTAAAATATTATTTGACTTGCATATAACATTATTGATCATTGGAGAATGTTAAATTAATGGTTGTAGAGTTGTTTTTGAGAAGAGGCGGATTCAGGATTTTAAGTTTATGGGTTCCGGAACACAACCCTTTTGATTATTGGATTTTGGATAGATTTCGTAACACAAATACCTGATTTGAGCCAAGGTTAATTTTTTTTTCTGCTAAACCCGTAGCTGAAACTGTAGACACGCCTGGTTTTGATAGAGAACATCATATCAAAGTTTAAGTTTGATTAGTTTAATGAATTTGAGTTTTTAGAAAGTTGTAAAAGTTAAATGGAATGGTGTTAAACATTTTGGAACATCTCAAAAAAGGAATAATTGCCATATAAATCAGGTCAGAGGAAGTAGTTACTTGTATTTATATATTTATTATTAAATGATACTCTAGCTGTTTAGAATCTGCTTGTTTGATCATTGGCATGGTTTTCTTGCAAACAATGTTCTGAAAATTTCTTCTAAGATAGAGTGAGAATATAGCATTGAGACAGGCGGAAAGTTAGCTAAGCACAACATTAGACTAATGGGTATATATGTTTGATGTGTGTCTGTAAATGACCATTGCTAACCTATATCTACTCTGGACCGTGGAGCCAACGCTAACATGTATAGATAACAGTCAATCACTTCTGCTATTGGCTTAGGCTTATGTATAAGTTTACTCTATTTCTTACGTCAGCAAACATATTCTTTTTATCAAGCAATTTTTTTCCTGATGCATAGAGGAAATAGTGGTTCATTTTTCCCTTCATTTAGTCACTCAGTTTTTCTCATGTTGCGTAAAATTTGCGCCCACTTTGATTTTTAGATGATTTCACTTTTTGGCTGTGGTTGTGGTCCATCAGTTGTCTGCATGCGAAACTAATGTGGTGCATACGATTTGTAGACATTTCTAATAGGTCTGTAGGAAGCTGTTGTAGATATTTCTCCCGTCTATGTGCTTGAAATATTACATTTGATCAGTTTTAGACAGAACTGCATATGGTTTGGCTTTATTGTGACTTTTCTGTGATGTTCTGCTTTTAGGATCCAAACAACAAGAACTTAGTTAATTGCGATGAGAAGTTAAAGAGTATCTTGTTGGGTAAGCCCCAGGTTGAGCTTACTGAACTACCAACACTGATCAAGCTGCACTTCCCTAAGGCACCAAGATGATCGAGTTTGTTGTAATGTTTGGTTGATGTGCTTATCCTTGATTTTTTACTAGATTCCATGGATTTTATGAAGCACTTAGATTACACATCTTGGTAAAACGGCTTGCTTACTGTTCAAGGTTCTACAAGTAGAAACATGTTTCATCTTCTGTGGATCTCCACAGTTGAGACCATATCTCTCTGTGTAATTTCCTCCATTTTTAATTGTTTTGGGTAATCTTTATCGTATCTCCTTTTTATCTGTATCACTCTCTTTACCATTATGAGTTAACCAGGCTTCCTTGATGAACTTCATATTAGGAATGAGACTGTCTTCATCTTAAGAGATTGTTGATAAGCTCTGGCTCTTTCAACTATTGTGATTCATTCTTGGAATGCTTAAGCTATTGGTACGAGTTACACAAATATCACACCTGTATATTTGTGAAAATATTTTGCACATTATTCAGGATAACATATTGTAATAGAAACCTGATTCATGATTTTATAATGGAAACACTGGAAACTAAATGTAAGAATTAACAAACGCTCTTAGGGGTGGTTAGCTACTACAATAAGTCCTGGATAGGTGTAATACATATAATAAGTTACATAGTGTTGGTCTGAAAGGCGGATATAAAGGCTTCAAATAGAAAGTGCGTTTGTTTTGCAGTCGGTATGGCTTTTTTGCACTATTCATGTACATGTCCACCACCCAACCTAACTTTTTGCACTCGTGTAATGTGGCAGGGTACTATTTTACCACTAGACCACTGGTGCTTGTTGTTTATTTTGTTTACCATAAGGTGCTATACTAGCTGTGAAGGCCTTTCAGCGATTGACCTTTCTTTCTCTCTTCCCCTGTCTGATCGATTGAGCTCTCGTAATTGATCGCAACCCCTTGAGGTTTATGACAATAGGTACCAAGTCCTTTATGGCTGTGAACTAAACGATTTTTGAGGATGAATAATGAATAAAAAGTTATCCCGACGTATACTCGCGCACTCTTTCATGAGCTGGACTCGAAATAGCATCTCCGGGAGAAGCTATTGTGCTGGAACAACAAGCACCCAATTTGCCTCATTTTTCTAAAAAATTTCTTGAAACAGGACATTGGCGACTTAAATTAACATATATTCCTTACCTTGTTATCCACTTGTAATCCTCAATCCTAAGTTGCTACCTCGTCATCCATTTCTAATCACCAACGTGCTTGTTGTCCTTGCCTCCTTTATAACTTGTATAAGCAACCCCAACCTAATATAGTGTATGAAACTAAAAGGAGAATAAAACTTTTGGAAGATTAATTTGGAGATCTATAAAATTATCTGCATTTTGCATATTAGAAATTCAAAGTTCAAACTTGTCCTTTGAAATAATTTTACAAAAAAGGAAGTACAACCAATTTTGAGACGTATTCCATCAAGCACGACGGGATATATGGTCAGCAAAAACATCGCAATCTTCGATTTAAATTAGAATGCACAATTGAGAAATACCATCTGAATTCAAGTGTCATGATTTCTACTTCGAATGCTCATGATTGTTGTTAGACTTTTCTGCTGCTCATCTGTTAACTATGTCAAAAAAAAAGAAGAGAAAATCAGGGTGTGAGCATTTTGTTTACTTACTATGAATGAGAATAACTCAATGCAAGATAGGATCAGTGTTTTAAAAGGTGTAGGCGCAGGGCGAGACTTTTCTTCTATCGTGAGGCGAGCCGAAAACCCCGAGGTGCTGGAGGTAAGCCTCACAGAACTTTTAATTTTTAATATTTTTAAAATAATATAAGTGAGACAAATATTTAAAAAAAGAAGAAGATCAAATTACAAAGAAATTATTAAAAAAAATTAGAAATTATGAAAAAAGTGTAACAACAATAACAAACTTAGTATAATCCCATAAGTGGGGTCCGCGGAGGGTATGTATGCAGACCTTATCCTACCTTGAAGATAGAGATGCTATTTCCGATATAGCCTTGGCTTAAGGTATGACACAAGTATGAGATGTATATAAAACTGCTTTATCTTAATAGAAGTATTTCAATGCATTAACAAAAAGCAACAGACATAATGCCTACTACAAGTAACATAGAGTTTCTCACGTTCAACACATAATACTTCAAAAATCATAGACATATAGCAACAAATAAAAAGAAAGAGTAAAAGATTAGTACTTCTAATCTTGAATCTAAACTATTTTTATTTTATCACACCATGAATCGACAAACAAAAGCTCTTTCGGTTCCTATGTCAAGAAAACAGACTATCCACTCTATCACATACAAATTTAACCTCAACGGTCTTATATTTCTTTGGCTCAGGAGGAAGCAACTTGTATATAGTAATACCATCTTGACAAACAATAAAATTGCATTAGTATTTACTTTTTTACTTTGAAAAGAATTTCGTTTCATCTTGGGTGGAAGAAGATTAAGTGAAAGAATAAAAAAAAGTTACGACTGAGTGTAAGAAAAGCTTTCGGTAGTTTTGTAGATAATAAATTGTGTCGAAAAAATAAAATCAAGACCGAAAGATATTGCGACAATCGTAGTATTTTATTTTAAACAGTGTTACAATTGTTTGACCAAAAGATTCTAAAACCCTTTTGATTAAATCAATTGATGAAGATGAAGAGGTAAATCTCAGCTAAGCGTAATAAAATCTATATTAGATAGTGCAAGGATAAAATATGGTGAATGATACTTCCTAATCTGTTGGAACCAAATGATTATTCATAAATGCGAGAACTTCAAATGTAAGAGAATATAGCAATGAATGCAATTAGTCAAGACAAAGGATGATGTAAGGATTTTTGATCTGTAATAAGCCAAATTGTTCTTTTTTCTCCCCCCTCTACAGAATGTTCTCTCATTCCTCTTTATAAGGGACAATCCCCCCTTTTATCCTAAAAAAGGTACGACACAAGGAATATTCGAAAGGCATATTGTTCCCTATCATGTTAACACTGCTGCAGACGTCGTGCGTTCACTAGCCGCTGTTAGTTGTCACCCTTCATAACGACCGAAGGGCGCTGCATCGTAAGGACCTCGTTCTTTGCTACACTCAGTAACGGCCGTGTTCGTCCAAATTTTGACCTATACAGTTAGTCCCTCCGCTTGTCGAGGTCGCGGCCTGGTGCATCTTTGGGAAGCGGACATCGCCCATACTTACGAAGAAATTTGGTCAGCAAACCATAACGATGACCGATGACAGAAGTGCGGTGCACTTCGCTATATCCTGGGTGGTGTATTCTATTGGGGAATGACGTCACTTCCACGTGCGTCATCATTGCCATCTTCCCGGGGTAGAGATTGACGGCCTGTCACTTTGGTTTTGCTGCCATGGGAAGATTTTCGCTTCGATTCTGGTGCCATCCAACCCTATAAATAGGGGAAGGGTTTGTTTTTTCAAAAACTCTTGGCCATTTCTCTTCTGATCATTCCCTTTCATGTTTTTAGCTTTGCTTCTGCGATTTTCTTCATTTCTTCTTTCTTGTTCATTGTTCTTGGTCTCTTTCATTTTATTAACACATGTTCCTCCATAGAGATGCCTAGAACACACCGATCACGTGAGGGGATTTCTGACGCCACTTCGTTATCCGTGGCGCTTCCTACTGGTGGTGAGGATGCGACTGCTGGGGAAGGGGATAGTTTTCCTACCGTAGACGAGTTGTTACCGAGACACCCTATGTCTCGAAGTGACTTTCTTAAGGACTCTGCTCCGACTCCCACCCCAGTAATATTTGAAACCGAGCAGGCCCATATAAATGCCCTACGTACCAAGTATAGCATTCCCCCTCACATCGAGATGGTTCCGGCGGGGAGGGACCTCGTGGAGGTCCATAGACCGGGGTACTGTGCTTTTTATGAATACCCTTTTGTAATTGGTCATTCCTTCCCCCTTCTTCCGTTAGCGGAAGAATTCTGTCGGTTTTATCGAGTTTGGCCGGCGCAGCTTTCCCCATACACGTATAAAATATTTTTGGTGTTGACCAAATATGCGGAATTGGCGGGGTGCGAAGTCGATATTCACCACCTCCTGCACTTGTTTTCCCCCAGTTTTCACATTGGTACTATGGTACACTTGAGGCACCGTGGAACCAAAGGGCTGGCGGTCAGAACTGACGACCGGGCGAGCCATAAGTTTTGGCATAAGTATTTCTTTGTCAGAACTGAACATATTGTGTCGGACCCCGCTGGATTCCCGGAGCGGTGGAATAATAATCGTAGGTGTCATAACTCGTTTACTTTCTTTGTTTTTTGTTTTTTGTTCGACTTAGTACTTATCTGCGGCTTTCCTTTGCAGCTGTGGGGCATACACCCCGTCAGATTGCCGGTATAAGGGACTGGGTATCCCGTTTACTGGTTCACGCAGTGGAGACACGGGACTGGCCCGCGTTTGTGAAACGTTTTGGGCTGAAGGTCTCATCTGGTAAGTGTTTTCCTCTGCACCGTTTTTTGGCTGTTTGCCATTATCTATTGATACGACTTTTGTGATGACAGGTCGTGGAGCTTCTAGGCGGAGGGCCGCAGTCCCTGCATTTCGCCGAGCCGTCGCCTCGGCGGGAATGCAATATACTTTGGAGGAGTCCGTCCGAGAGGGTCGTGCTCCACCGGTACAGGTGAGAGACTCCTCTCGAGATATGGTCGTGAGGGAGGAGATTTCTTCTTTACCGGTTTATCACCTCTTGGACGAGTCCTCTAACGGGGACGAACCTTCGCTGAGGAAAAAGCGGAGGGTAGAGCTCAGTAAAGACGTGGCCGTTGAGACTGGTAAGAGTAGGATGGGTGCGTCGGGGACGGCACCTGTACCCGCGTTTATGGCGGACGCTATCTTGGCGGGGAGGTCTCCCCGGACAGGAGTTTACCAAGGAGGGGGGTCTGTGCGCTCCGCTGAGGGTGGTGCGTCATCTACTGTTGGAGAGGGCTTACGCGCCAAGGACGACGGCTCGGGTTCGGACGTCGACCCGGAGGATGTTCGAGAATTTTTTGGAGCGCCATACTCGCGTAGAGGTTAGAACAGAGGGTTCTGATCGACACATAATCATCCCCGGGGATTACGACTTGTTGTCGAAATGTGATCAGGTGGCGTCCGTTTTCGCCCCTTTGTGTGCTGCCCCTGAGAGCGAGGCACTTAGAGCGATGAGTGATGCAGAGTTGTCACAGAGCGTTTCTGGCATGGCTTTGCGGGTAAATGCCTTTCTTTTCTTTTCGTCGTTGGATCTGTTTTACTATTTTTGGCCCATCCTTTTGTTTTAACTTTTCTTTTTATGTGAGACCCTCATCATGGAGATCGAACGTGAGCGTCGGGAAA